TGTGGATGAAATAATAGCAAGCTCCAGGGATGCCATGCTGTAAGGCAGAAACTAGCAGCTGAGCAGTGGCAAGGATCAACTCTTTAAATTGTCTTTCCATTGCAATTAACTGCATACCAAATCTCAGCCAAATGGGAGCTCATAGCAGGGATGAAGTTTAACCTGTTTGGCTTTGCACTGAAGGGGATGAACGCCACAGGTAGCCTTGCTTGCAGTGAGCTACAAGCAGGAGATTTAACAAGCTACTACTTGTCAGCTCCTAATTAGCAGCTCCCATCAGAGCAGCAGCACCCAACTGCAGCGCCGTCTGCTTCAGTGCAAAGTCCAATTCATTAGTCAAAATTTTCAGTGGCGTCACATTTTGCTTGGGCGATAGTAGATCTTAAAGCTTAAGATCTACCTACCTTTCTGTTGTTTCTCTCTGTAGGAAGTTTCCAGCTAAACGTAGAGTCCAGCAGTATCTGCTAAATTGGACACAAGCTGCAGGTCAAGGAGGTTCCTTTGGCTAAATCTCTAGATTTGCAAGGTGATTTTTGTTTATTTTGTTTTCACTTGCAGTGCAGATTTCCATATCCATCACAACTGCAACAGACAGCAGTAGAGCATTTGATTTGGCCGAGTGCGTGTCTAACGACTTGGAGCACTGCTGTTTTGACAGTAAGTCTGGTTTGCCACTGCTCTAACATTGCCACTGCATGGCAATGCACACTTTGCTAGGGGCTTTGCACAGCTTGAGAAGATAACCAGTGCTGTGTGTACTACAAGATAAACAGCAGTTTGCTGAGCCTGCCTGCTCACCCTTCCTGATTAGTGAGAAACGTGTGTAATAGTTAGCTCTTGAGGAAAGTTGTGTACAATTAAGAGGTGTACTTTTTGAAATAGCACATTCGAGTGGGAATTAAAAGATAGTAAAACCTTACTCAGATTACACTGAGAAATAGCAGGGGAGTTGAAAATGGAGAAGATAAATGATTTGCTTCAGGCCCTGTTGTGAGTGTGTGTGTGAGCTGGCATGTCAGGCACACCAAACTTCCTTTGTAGGGAGAATCCTTATAATCACCTGATCCCAGGAATGCCTGCGAAACTTGAGAAACGTCCTGCTCATATCAGTTATTAGATTTTTAGCAACCTTTTGTTTTTCAGCCTTTTTCTAAGAAACTGTGTGCTACTATAAGCTCGTTAGCAGAACATTATTGAAATAGTAATAAACACATTTACATATGGACAGGGAACACCATTGCTAAAACATGTTGGCTCTCAAAACACTGCTGGAAAATTAATGTTTACTTCAGTTTTTAGTTTTCCTTTCAACAGTATTGAAAGAAATGTTGTAACAAAAGGCGAGGATAAGAAACCTCTTCAAAGAATTTCTTTGTAAATATACATTTCATTTTTATTGTTTTAGAGCATCACTGGAGTTCAAACTTCTTTCAAGCATTGCATGGATGAATCAGCCTCTTTCGGTACTTGAGCTCTAAGGCATAGATTTGTACACAGTCATGCACTGGAAATGTATGCTTGCTCTCTTATGTGCACGTGTGCACCCACTTGTAAACAAATAATCAATGGTGATAAATATAGATTTAATAATCTGTTTCCCATTAAACTTCAGGTCATTTTGAGGCAGTTGTGTATGTTGGAGCACTGGGAGCCTTTTCTGTTGCTTGGAAGTAGTTCTAATCAGCAGTCTGACAGGTTATTTCTCAGGCTTTGTAATAACGTAGAAAGCTGCTTAAATATTTTCAGAAATGCAGGGAGAATACTGTTGTGGTTAGTTTTACCATGGGGGAAAAGTGACAATGAAAAGAATAGGAAGAAATATACCATGATCTATTCATCTTTTTCTTTAGTGCAAGAGGCTTTTTATATTTGTTCTATGCAGTCAGAAGATGAAAATAATGTTAATGTAGTCAGGATTTTTTGGAAAAAAAATAACAAGTTTGTTTTGATATTTTTGTAAGCGTGTTCTGAAAGAACCGTTATTTCAGTAGTGGAATGTCAACTCTGTGTTTCACAATAGTGCCCATAAATAGAAAAGCAGAGGTATATAAATGAAATGTGTTCGTAGTTCACTCTGAAACTAGACTCCCATTTTTTTTTCCGTGGAAACAACAACAGATACACTGAAAGAGCAAATCCTCAGGTACAAAGCACTGTTTTTCAACATAAGCACCACTATGAGCTGTGCATTTTCACCAGCAATGAATGAGAGCCTGCACGCTACACTCATAAAAGTCTATATCTGTGGATGTGACCCACTGCTGAAAGGCACCACCCACCACCTCACTGTGCTCATTACCCACTTTTTGGACTCCCTAAGCATTCACCAAATGTTGATAGTATCAGTGGTACAGTTTTTTCCACGTGGAGAAATTCAATTCCCAACCTTTGCTTCATACGCACTTGTACGTCAGACGCCATTCTGTCAGACTGCCCCTCTGCTGCCATCTGTCACACAGCAGCAACATGGGATGTTGATGGGAAGGTTCAACCTCTACTGCCACTGCACCAACATCCACCTCTGACATCATGGGCCAACATCATCAAATAGGAGGCATTACCTTCATAGCAGCTCTCGTATGTTCTTTGAAGATGGAGTATTTTCAAAAGGAGCTTAAAGGGCCTCTGCAGTGCATCTTTTTCACCCCTTCAGCCATCTTTGGTGCAGCTCTGCAGCCCTCAGAATCTTTTAACTACATTGATCTTTTCCTTCTCTCTTGGGCATGGGTTTCTTCTCCTCCCTGGAGATACAGGTGGGAGCTAGTTCCCTGGCCCTACAGGCCAGCCTCTGACATGAGGATGGGGCCCAGCCTGGTGTGTCGCAGGGGTGTGAGAGAAAAGCCACCTCCTTGCATTCTGCCTCTGGGCAATACTCAGTGCTGCACTCACATGGGCTGCCTATGCCAGGCTACTAAATAATGGTGACTTCAAAAACGGTTGGAGTAAAAGGTACTTTTATTTGTTACAAAATAGAGTGACAACTGGGCTGTTGTTTCACACTGTTTGAGAAGGATGTTGCCTCTTCGATTCTCACACATGGTTGTGATGCTGTCTGGCCTATTTGCCATCCTGGCTACCAACTTCTAAAGCAGGTTCTTAGGGGACAGATGGAATATAAGGAATGGTTTCACTTTTAGTTAATTCTGCTTAAAACAAGCAGTTTTATGTTTCCTTTGAGCTAGTAGGACTGTCCTTTTTATTGTTAGTGTCAAATCCTGTTTTGTATTTTACAGATCTGTTATCCTTAAGAATTAAATTCCACACTTAATCATATGCTTCTCCTACAAATAAGGAAGATTATCTTACTTATAATGTCTTCATATTCTGTAATGTGAATGCAGAGTAGCTCACAGGGATGCAGGATTTTTTCCTACTATTCCCAACAGAGATTTTGTCTGAATCATTCTTAGGTGATGGTATCTACTAGCTGTCACTCTTGGCTGTATTTCTGTCATATTTTCTTTTATCATTCCCTCAAAAATATATTCCTGGCTTTTCTTTTCTGGGGGATGCACCCCATTGCCCTTGCTTTAAATCCCAGAGGGAAAAGATTTCTAAAGTAGAAGTGTTGGGCTGATGGGATCACTCTGTGTCTGTAAGAGCCCTGTGCACTTCAGCTCTTCCCTGGTGCCTCCAGGAGTGAGAGGTGCCTCATGCACAATTGCAACTGGACATGCACATATCGCTTCTCATCAACCTTTTCTTTCTTTCTTTCTCTCTTTCTTTCTCTCTTTCTTTCTCTCTTTCTTTCTCTCTTTCTTTCTCTCTTTCTTTCTTTTGAAATGAAGTACATAATACTGCATTTATTCCCCCAATAATAGTGTGTTGTACTAAAACCAGAACTGAAGCTTGACAGTTCTTTTAGACAAGTCCATGTTGGTCCTATGGACTTGAAAATTACATTTCCACAACTGATAGGATACTCAGAACTGCTTAGTTTTTGTGAATTTTTAGAGGAGGGAAATTTTGCATACTTACATTTCCATCATTAACGTTGCACAGATGGTGTCTTAATTTTGCATTTTTTGTCTTGTTTTAGGTTAACAGAGTTAATATTCTCCTAATTTCAAGTATCCACATGCATCACACAGAGTTCATTTTGAGGACAGAGCTCTCAAATAAATTATAGATGTTGGTAGCAGTTGTAATTCAGTCTTTTTTTTGTTTTTCATTCAGGAAGTGGTGGCACTGGAAGAAAGTTATTTAGTGATCAAAATGCATTGTTAAGCTTTTAAAAAGAGATTCCGTTGCCTGTAGTAGGCGATTTATGGCTTATCTGTACTTATTGCCTTGAGCTTTTGGAAAATTTGTAAACAAAGCCAGATGCTCATTATGTTACCATTCAGGGTTGGTTAGATGGTTAAATGCCATCAGAAGCACTTTGGTCCTGTTGGGTTTTAGGCTGTTATAAAAAATGAATTTGCTCCAGAGTATTTTTTCTTAATATTTATCATTTATGAGAAAGTATTTCTAGTTTCTGTGTGTATAATAGATTTTTTTAAAATTGTTTTAGGTGATAAAAATCAGAAAATAAAAATATGCGAACTGTATTGTAATCTGAACAGTGACCACAGCTTTTTCAATATATCAGAATTCATTCTTACAAAGGGTGGCTTCAAGTTCACCCTTTTTAGGAGTTTTGGGAAATGGGGACATTTGTGAACTCTAGTTAGGGTGACTTCTGCTTTTTACCAAATTTTATGGAACTGAGTTGTGAACTGAGTGTCTTTTCATAGCCAATTTTATGTTAGATTATTTGTTATTGATTTGATAGTTTTTACTGATTGCCTTTGTCTTCCTGTGATGCGGTGTGTGCGACATATTTTTGGGTTTTATTGCTCTTTAAGCAGAGGGAAACATGATGCTGTATACAGATTGGATTGCTAGAAGTTAACAGAATTTTTAACAGATTTTTTGTGTAATTTTACTTATTGCAAGATGATCTTGTATTCTATTTCATAGTTCATTAATATGTATATTTTTAATTTATTGGGTTGCAGCTGACCAAGTAAACAGGTCATGGCACGCTTAACGAAGAGACGACAGGCAGATACAAAGGCGATCCAGCATCTTTGGGCAGCAATAGAAATAATCCGGAATCAGAAGCAAATTGCTAACATTGACCGTATCACAAAGTAAGTGATCCATTCCAAACTAATCTTAATGAGGGGGAAGGCTGATGATATGAAAAGCTCTGAGAAACAGACACATTAAACATTGTGAGAGACTGTGAAAAAGCTGCATCAGCTGCTGAGTTACTAATTATCTAATTATAATTGAGTACCTGAAGATCCTATAGTGAGATTTAATCTACTGAGTTGAGATTTTATTCGTCTTGTATTTCCTTGATATAAGCATCTGTAGGAAATATTCAGTCTTTATAGTACTTGAACTGAGTTGATTGTGTTAGAGTTGTTCTTACTTGCTAGCTTGGTCAAAAGAGAAGAGGTAGGTTTAAAAGTGTAGAGAAAATGTCTATAAAATGTGTAAATTATCTAGTTCCTTAAGGAAAGGCTCTAAGTCATTGGATCATTTTTTCTGGAAAACAAAGATAAAGAGATAAGTCTGAAATCAATCTCCTTGATTGCCTGAACCATATTTGCTGAGATGAGCATAGGATGCTATTAAAGAAGACATGAAAGGATCACACCTATGACTAATACTATTGTTAATATTAAAATATTCTTCAAGATGTATTAGGTTCTGTATACACAGAGAAATATAAATATTGCTTATTCTGTTGAGCTTGCACTGTTTGAAAAGTCTGAAATATTAAAATAGCTTTTAGAATAACTTGCACTAGCCACTGTAATAAAAACTGAGAGGTTTTGTGCCTCTTTGCTTTGTCTGCATTTCGAGGCCAATGTGCATGTCACATTTGCCAAGTAATCAATATGAATAATTTAAAGGAGCAAAACTAACCAGTTGGCATCTCTTCAGTTGCCAGAACCAGTGTGAGCTGATAGAGAAGGCAGATATCACGGAAGGGCAGGGTTATAAACAGTGCAGGTGACTAATGAAATGAAAATCACTACAGCATAGTCCACTGACGAAGTTTGAAATCTCTGTGGTGGAAGTGAACAGCAAAGTCATCTTAATAAGTGGAAGAAGTGTAATAACTCAGGTTGTGCAAATACAGTGAACAATATACAGGAGAAAAGAAAAAGATGATGTCCCAAGTGAAATAATGCATACTTGGCTTTTATAACAACAATAAATGAATAAATGCGCCATTAAACCAAAAAACACCTTCCAAATGACAATTCCAAGCAGGCTTGAAATGGGAGATTCTATTTTAAGATTTTTTTTTTTTTTTTGAGTTTGCACTTGAGTTTCAGAATGCCATAAAGCATTATGTATATTAGTATCTTATCTCCAAGGAGATAAGTAGGTAAACTAATGCTATACACTTTCCATTTGAATGTTTCAAATAACTTGCTGCAGGGCGTGTACTAACTGAGTTTGGTGGCTGTTTATGCTCTTTTTTTCTGTATTGGAAAAGAGATGAGCATGTCTAGTGGGGATTCATCCCACTCTTACAAGAGAGCCTATTTTAAGATGGTGAAAATAACATTTAGCTGGGTGAAGTTACAGAAGACGTTTCCCGTCGTTACAAACAAGGTTGAGAAAACAAGTAATTAGGTACTGCTCTTGGTAACTGAAGGATAGTTTGATTTATTTTAAAAGTCTAGATCCAGATTATATGACTCATCTCTAATCAGAAGAAAGATACATCAAGTGAATAAACAGAGATGCGAGCAGCCATAGTTCTTTGAGAAAGATGAATATTATAGAAGTTTAGAGGATCATTAAAAAGCATGGAAAATTTTCTGTCTCTCTGATGCAATGAGTTAGCAATAAGGAGTAATCTAAAAAGTGCTAGGACATTGTAAATGCTCTGCTTGCACTTCAGTGACAGGTGTTATCTAGTTTCAGTTGTATGATATTTTAAAGGAGATAACATTTGACAAGGAATGGAAAGACAGAAATCTTTGAGGTGCTTTCCAGTACTCTCCCTAGATGGAGATACACAGAATGCTTAGTGAATGAGCGTGCATATCATGTAATACTCAAAGTAAACTTCTGAAATCAGTGGGGCTCAGAATATCTCTTCTGATGAAAACTGAAAAGCTCGTGTATTCTTTCAGGCTGAAGGATCATTTAGTCAAATAAAATTGCAATTCATCCGCGCCTAGGCACATAGGTGTATGTATGAATAATAAGACAGCGGTCAGAAGGTTGGTTGTACTTCAAACATGTTGTAGCAGTAGGAGGGAGATTCGTATATTTGTATTAAGATAATTTGGGAAGTGTTATTACTTCAAGTCTTGGGATTGAGTGGCTTTGCACATTAAAAGTATTTGCAAGGAGTAATAACGATGGAATTTATGGAAGTGTCCTATCCCTCAGTAAGGATACAGAAAAAAAAGGCAAGATTTTTTTCTGGGGGTGGGAGGAAAGGGGAATTCTTGTTTGAGGTAAGCAACGGTCATCTACCATGTCACATATTGATTGAAAAGTTGAACAGATGATTCATGATTTGATTTTTTTATTATTTGCCTGTTGTCTGGGGGTTCATTTGTTGCAAGAGATGGGTTGTCCTCTGTGTTTTGTGACTTGTTACGCCAAACCCCATTAGAATACAATCTATATTGCTGATTTCTTCATCAGATGGTTCACTACTTTTAAGTCTATCTATTAGTGGGCCTTTTTTTCTAACCCTAGCAGAGGGTTCTGTCCCTCTGATATTCACAGTTTATTTCATTTACTTGGTTTGTTTAGCCTTCTGGTGCTTGCTAATAGCCACTGTGCATGTCAGGGAGTGTTTACTTCTTATGTTGAGAGTGGAAATGTTGGTAATATAAAAGAGGATATATAGTTTATAGATAATGACCTGTTTTAACTCAGTATATAAAAAGATTAATTTATGTAACACACTAAAATAATGTAGAATGTAACTTTTGCACTTGATATGTAATTGTCAAAAAAATATCTAGGGTACAGAAATATTTTTAGAAGATACTGATAATTGAAAGTATGAAAAAAAAAATAAAAATAAAACTGGCCACGCATTTTCTGTAATGAACATAATTGTAGGAGGACAGTGTAGTAGGAGCCAAGAGCACTAGAAAGTACTTCTGATATTGTCAGAAAAACCTGTAGGGAAAGAGGGCCTTTAATTAAAAGTAGACTAAATCAAGTGTACTTTGCTCTTTAATTTGATGAAGAGGAAAAGCAAGAATGGAAAAACGCATGATTAGAAAGTGATTGAAAACTTATATTGAGGTGAGTTTTCTCTTGAAAATTTTGAAAATATGAGCAGGAGACTCGAAGCAATTAGCTGCTAAGCTTACTGAATTTTTGGCAATTATTCTGAAAAATTCACTGGTTGTATAAGAAACACAAAAAGGCCTCTATTTATGAAGGAATTAAAAATGTATGCGGAGAAATGGCAAGAAAAAAAAAAAAAAGAAAAAAAAAGAGACTAATAGTTGGAGCATTAGATAAATACTTAAAAAAAAGCATTGAGAGGGAGGACAGGTTTGTCTCCAAAACCATCTCCAAATTATTAAATGAAAGGAATTCCTCAATTTTATTGACTACACGTGGAGATGCATTTTACTTGGGAAGTTACTTCCCACTGAATGGAGTAGCTTGAAAACTAAATGAAGGACTGAAAGCCAATACCAATGAGAAATAGATGTGGTGAATTTAAAGGAATCGGTACTTGAAGAGCAAACTGCCTTTGGAAGATAATTCTGTATATACACATATGTAAATTCCTCAGTCAGTACATAGGCTCCAGTGTGTTCAGTGCATTTTTATTTAAGGGTAAAGCTCATTTGAAGGCGATGGTGCTGGTTTTTTTTAGTAATATGTATTTATTATGTATTTTAGTAAATTTATGTAAATAAATATTATATTATTAAATATATTATTAAATATATATATATATTAAATACATAAATATTATGTATTTTAGTAATATTCTCTTCTTGTTTTGTCCTAGTATTTCTTGAGTCATTCAATTATAATCATTTAAAAAGTCTAGCAACAGAGATATGTCTGGCATTTCTAAACTACCAAATTACTTACCAACAAAATGATATTTCTAAAAGGTATTTATCTATTTGACTGTCTAGGCCTGATGTTGAGGCAATTTAACCTTAATATGTCTATTATTTAGATGATTGTGATTGGGATTAACTATGCTGTAAGCTCTCTGTATATCGTGAATGCTGTCAGGAGTGCAGCTTGACAAATTGTTCATCCTAAAAGTGTGTTAAAAATTATAATTATGCTTTGACTTTCTCAGTTCTTCCTCATTATCTTCCATCTGTTTTGGATTTGAGATAACCGCAAAAATTGATTCTATGGAATAAAATGCATTAAAATACACCGGAAAAAAAGGCATACATATTTAAATAAGTAGGATAAATTATTGATATTCTGTTGCATAGCAGTCTGGTAAGTATTTCTGTACAGACATGTTTTTAAAGTTCTCTTTCTTTGGCTACTCCAGGCTCCCAGTGCCTTTTAAAGTGCTTTCTTCATCATTCCCTTACAGATAATTGGACTCCTAAAATTTAATTAACTATTAATTTTTTATTCTTTCTCTGTCGAGGAATTGGATTTCCTCACTACCAATTTATGAACATTTCATGGTCTTTATGATTAGCTCAGAGTTCATTATCTATTAAGGTAATGTTTTCAAAATACCCAGTTGCCAAATATGATGTTCTGGAACCACTATATTGGCAGCTTTCATACTTTTGTCATTGTAAACAGATGATCATTCTGGTTTCTAAACCAGTAATATGAAGAATCAAAGCACAGTTCTTTTCTCTCATCCTTTCTTTCTCATATCTTTTTTCCTCTTCCTTTGATGTGATATATGATTTATTTAGTTGATTGGCTACTCTCCGTGTCTCCAACAAAGGCTCTACCTGTACTGTATTTGTGTACTGTGACAGGGAATGACCTGGCACCTCTGGAGCAGATATACTGTGACCACACTGCCTTGCTGTTGGCTCACGGAGTGTTTCTTTGGCCCTGACATATTCTTTGTTTATTTTCTATGTGTGTGTGGCTCTTCAGTTCTAAGAGCCAAAAATATCACAGCCCACAGCCACGC